CCCCCCCCCCCCCCCCCCCCGACAGCTAGCAATCCAAAACAGTCCAGTGGAGCCTGAGCGGTAGATGTTGCCTTCTGACAAACTTCCGGTGATGTGTGTGGGGTTTTTTTTGACATATGCAAATAAGTTATGCTAATGAGTTATGCTAATGAGCTCCTGCACCTCTTTTTCTACGAAATGACCCCTGTCATTAATTCCTTCCATTAGAAGGAACTTGACAGCACTTCACACACACATTTTATTCACTAAAACACCTATGCCACTTGTGTTTAAAAATAAGCTGAATAAATAAATAAATAAACACTGCATATTTAGGGTACTGTGTGTTTAGGGTACTGTGACAAACGCACGTCTCCGCTTAAGCAACGCAAGATCCGGACCCGCTGCCTCCGCTGAAGATACCAAATCGATCGTGCATCGGAAGAGAGCTATGTGCCCTCCACTTTGTGGCCGGTTACCCACTACCTCTTTCTGGTCCAGCCCAGGGCCAACAACTTTGTTTCTTCAAAATACTCGGTGAGACCCATTGGGAACATCTCTTGCCCAAGAGGCACCGCTCAAATGGATGGAACGTTTGGTTCTTGAGCTCGCGTGGGGAGGGGCACACACTCCCCTCCCCCACAGTTTCGCACAAATGGAAATTTCGTGCAACTCGCGCTTGGATGCCCCCCGTGCATTTTGCAGGGAGGTGGCCACGTGGCAGCCACCAGGCATATGAACCAGCCCTCCTGTTTGCTTAAAATCAGGGCTCAAACAGTAGACGCTCCCCTGACAGATGGAACTCATCAACGGGTTTCAAGGCAAGGAGGAAAATTCAGCTTTGCATGGCAAAGGCCTAGCACTTTTTCGGTTCTTTTTTTTTTTCAGCTGGCCTGCTGCTGGGCAAATCAAGCTTCTTGGTCTGGGCTTTTATTATTTTTTAATACCGTGTAGCTGAAAATGAACAGCTACTTCTCCTCGGCTGCCAACTGTAACCTTGAAAGCATTAATGCGATCCAGCCGAATTCTCAACTGATCAATAAAAGGCCAGAAAAGCAAAGAAAGAGAAAGGAGGGAGGGAAAGGGGGGGGGGGAGGAGAATCACATTTATCCACCCAAACAAAATATTCATTTGGGCAGGAAGTCTACTATTTTGTTAAGATCTGTTCTGGTTTGTTTAAATAAAAAAATTGGGGGGGGGGGGGGGGGGGGAGACATTCCCAGATTACCCAGATTATATACTGTCCCACTGATAGTAACCATCATAGGGGATGGGGGCGTAATACTTACCCATGTTTTCCCAGCAATTCGGCCTCCGGGACCGGCGGCCCATACGTTTCTACGTGCAGTGGCTGATATTCGTAGAGTACTTCCTTGATCCTCGGAACAGGCGCTAAAGCAATTTGCTGACCCTGTTAAAAACAAACAGCAGGATGTTTCTTGAAGGATGGGTTATATATTTTGGGGACGTTCGTACTAAGAAGGTACCGTCGACCCTTAGAAAGCTGGAATGAAAAACACCGCTCTAAGCAATCGTGGGCCATTAAACAACCCATTTCCTGCTTCTAAACTTGACTTTCTTTCCTGAGATTTCTACAATAGGGGAAATAAAGGTTTGTTAGCTATAATTTCCTTTGAAAGGGAGGGGTGGAAAATAGGATTTACTGAGGTCAAGCTGACTGTAACCCAGCGCAGCTGCCCCCCACTGTCATGGTAAGCTTATTAGGTTAAAAACCTTAATTTATCATAAGGAACAGTCAAACAAATATTACTGAGCAAGTCTACTGCTCTTTGTAGCCATTTCCTGAAAGCCCTACTCAGAAAGAAAGATACTTCTGATTGCTCCTTGCAAGTGTCTCCTTGCAAACTGCCCTAAACAGAAGGACAGCTACACTTGAGCCAATAGCAGCTTAGAGACCGACACGATTTTGCAGTAAAACAAATTGAGAGTCCAGTGGCACCTTTAAGACCAACAGAGTTTTATTCAAGGTATGAGCTTTTGCGTGCACACACACTCCCTCCAATGAAATGGAATTTACCAGTCCATACATATAAGGCAGAAATTGAACAGCAATGAGGTTTCCCTTGCTCGAAAGCCAGTCGAATCCGACTCTAGGGTTGCGGTGCTCCTCTCCGTTTCCAAGCCGAAGAGCCAGCGCTGTCCGAAGATGTTTCCGTGGTCATGTGGCCGGCATGACTAAACGCCAAGGCACACGGAACGCTGTTACCTTCCCACCGAAGCGGTACCTATTTATCTACTTGCAATTTCTTGCTTTCAAACTGCTAGGTTGGCAGGAGCGGGAACCAGAGACGGGAGCTCACTCCGTCATGTGGCACTCGGGTCTCAAACTGCTGAACTACCGACCTTCCATCCTGAAGTTCAGCGTCTTAACCACTTGAGCCACCACAGCTCGAACAGCAATTAGCATACATCATAATGAAGATATTTTAACAGATGCGAACAGGAATAACAAGCTAAGTTTATAAGGTCACCATTGTTGGGATTTAATTCTGGGGGGGAAACAGTGCAGCAAATAAATACGTCAAAATTGGAGATCGATGTGTAAATGGATCCTTAATTGTGGGGTGCTAAGAGTAATTAACTGAGACCTGGTTGTTACACTCTATCCTTCTCCCCTCAAGCATGGAGCTAACTAATAGCATTTTTTTCTTTGAGGTGGGGTGATTTGTAGTGCAGGGTTATGTCTCCTCTGTTACCGGACCACAGAAATGCATTCCAATATACCATTCTAATATCCACTGCATACATTTTTGGGTTTTAGCATTCAAGAGACAAAGCTCCCTTTGTCAGATCTCTGATGAAGGGAGCTTTGACTCTCAAAAGCTTATACCCTGAAAATCTTGTTGGTCTCTAAGCTACTACTGGACTCGAATCTAGCTGTCCTACGGCAGACCAACACAGCTACCCTCTGAAACTACCCTACACAGCGATAGCTTCAGGTAGGTAGTCATCATCTGTGAACAGCACGTCTGGCGTTTTGCCAAATTTGTTTTTAACAGCAGCAACATAGCATTTAAACTTGTCAAGCACCTCATCTTTGCTCCTAAGCAGGTAGGTATAGACATATCTGGATTTTCCTTCCAGAAAACTGACAAAATACTTGTTGCCACCAGCAGATTCTTTTATTGGACCAACCAAATCAGAGTACACGCACTCTATAAACTTAGTATTGGGGTCATGAGCTCTATTTTTATAAGAGGGAGCTGTGGCTTTAGACTTTAGGCAAATATCATAGCCTAAATCTTCCAGAACATAAGTCTTTGTGAGTCGGAACTCAGAAAACAAAAATTCGAGACCAACAAAACAAAACAAAAATTCAAGACCAACAAATTCGAGACCAGCAAATCAACAAAATCTTCCAGAACATGTCTTTGTGAGTCGGAACTCACTTCACTTGAGAGCCAGTTTGGTGTAGTGGTTAAGTGCGCGGACTCTAATCTGGGAGAACTGGGTTTGATTCCCCACTCCTCCACTTGCACCTGGCTGGATGACCTTGGGCAAGCCATAGTTCTGGCACAGCTGTTCGTGAAAAAGAGCAGTTTCTGTCAGAGCTCTCTCAGCCCCACCTACCTCACAGGGTGTCTGTTGTGGGGAAGGGAAGGGAAAGGAGTTTGTAAACCACTCTCAGACTCCCTTGGGTAGTAAAGGGTGGGGTATAAATCCAATCTCTTCTCTTCTTCATCAGATACAAGTGAGCTTTGTCTCACGAAAGATTACACCCTGGACAATTTTGTAGGTCTTTGAGGTGCTACTGGACTTGAATTTTGTGTTGCCTACATAATGGCTCTCACGATGGTGATTTTACAATGGAACAAATTTATTCAGCTAATTCCCATCTGTTTCGTAACCAAAGCAGAGGAGCATGCACACATCAAAATTTTAATTCCAGGTGGCACCTTTGAAAACTATAAGCATTAAAAGAGCAGCTACAAAGCCTTTCAAGATTCTGCTAGTCTTAAATATTCGTTTTTATTGGTCTGGAGCTTCGGTTGAAGTGAGATACACACCAGTAACATATAAGAAAAGGCTCTGATGAACGCCACTGATGATGCTGTTGATGCTCTGATGATGCAATTTGATTCATTAAAATATTTATATGCTGCACCAGAATTGTTTTTATTGAATTGCATACCAGATGATTTTGACAAAAATCAAAGATATTTTATAATCCATGAAGTAACAACAGCTAGAATCTTATTTGCAACTTTTTGGAAACTTCTAACAATACCCTCTGAACAAGACCTAATAATGAAGACCATGGAAAGTGTGGAAATGGACAAACTTACTTTGATCTTAAAAGGGCAAATGGAAGAAGATTTTGTTGGGACTATGGACTCCTTTTTACAATGGGACAAAAAAGAAATATAAAGATATGAACTTTTCGATAACATAATCTGAAGACGCTTTTATGAAGTTTTAAAATTTCACAGTCTATCTTTTTGTAGTGTGAAATGATATGTGGAGAAGAGTTATATGCAGAAGACTCATTACTTTGCTTCCCTTTCTTCCCTTACCCCTGTATAGCCTAAAAATCCAATAAAGAGGAGAAGAAGAAGAAGAAGAAGAAGAAGAAGAGGAAGAGGAAGAGGAAGAGGAAGAGGAAGAGGAAGAGGAAGAGGAGGAGATTGGATTTATACTCCACCCTTCACTCGGAGTCTCAGAGTGGCTTACAAACCCCTTTCCCTTCCCCTCCCCACAACAGACACCCTGTGAGGTAGGCGGGGCTGAGAGAGCTCTTTCGAAGACTGCTAGTGAGAGAACAGCTCTGACAGAACTATGGCTTGCCCAAAGTCATCCAGCAGCTGCAAGTGGAGGAGTGGGGAATCAAACCCGGTTCTCCCAGATTAGAGTCCGCGCACTTAACCACGACACCAAACTGGTGTATGCTGCCTTTCCCACCAACCATGGTGGCCACCTGCTGCCAGTGCTGCATTTTCAAAACTCTGCTTTTGGCTATAAAGCTAAGGTCGGTCGAGTCATTCACACTATAGTATTCCCCGTCACGATGTGTCCGCGTCCGCGTGAAAGTCGGACCATGAAGAAAGCTGACTAGAAGAAAGTTGATGCGTTTGAAACGTGGTGTTGAGAGGAGAGTTTTATGGATACCGTGGACCACCAAAAAGACAAATAAGTGAGCTCCAGATCAAATCAAGCTTCAGCTCGAAGAAGTAGGGCAGTGGGACCAGGCAGCAGGGAACCCCTGCCTCCACGGGGAGGGGGGGCATCTGGCAACCCAACCCTTAGAGAGATGCTCACTCAAGCAGTCCCACTGTTCCCTACAGGACTGCCCATTCAGAGAGCTGGAAACCCTTCCAGTGCTAAAGATACCTGAGAAACGATGATGGGGGGAAACATTTATTTATAGATTTATATCCCGCCCTCCCAACGGCTCGTAAGGGCGGCTAACATACGGCAAAAGCCGCATTAAATAGATAAAATACAATAAAACAAAGCCATATTAAAACACACAATAAAACCATACAATATTTATTAAAGTGCTCTAGTCTTCCTACATATAAATCACCCAAGACGGGAACAGTGAACCCAGTGCGGCGGCCAGCTGTCTCCAGCACGGTCTCCAGTAGCGCTGTTCTACGCGCATTCTGCCAGGGAATAGTTGCCCTATATGATGGAAACAACAGTAGGACAATGCCACACTGGTGGAAGAGCTCCGTCTTACAGGCCCTGCGGAACTGCACAAGGTCCCGCAGGGCCCGGATCTCCTCTGGGAGCTCGTTCCACCAGGTAGGAGCCACCCCTGAAAATGCTCTGGCCCTAGTAGGGGCAAACTTCACATCTCGGGGGCCTGGAACTTCCAAGAGGTGGAGACTCCCCGATCTTAGTGCTCTTGGGGGAACATACGGGGAGAGGCGGTCCTTCAGGTAAGCCGGCAGAAGGAAACATTTCTACAGTCCAGGTGCAGCTATATCTCCAAGCTGGCATGCTGGAAAGTCTTTATTAACGAGAAGACTTTATCCTTAACTCACGGAAGGCCTGGGAAGGGGAGGGGGAGAGGAACTAACAGGCTGGGCTGGCCTGTCCGTCAAGACAGCAGAGAGTCCTCAGCCCCCACCCCCTACATTTAAAAAAAAAAAGATCTGCTTCTGCTTTGCTTGATCCCCGTCGGTCCTAACATTTGATTCTGTGGTCACGGGTAAGAATTTCTCATTCCCCTCGAATGCTGTAATGTTTGCACAGGAGAAACCGAAGCCCGGCGTCCAAATGGTGAATCAAACAGCTTCCAAGAATGCAAGGAAAAGAGAGGGGGGGTCTTTTTTGTTTGTGAGCGCGTTTGTTTCATTGCTCACCGAGGGCCTATTTAATGTCCAGTTACCCATCCGCCCTTTGAAACTCTGGAAAGCAACAAAAACGCTCGAAGGATTCGATGGT